TCTGCTTTTGCACACACACATACATATATATATATATATCAAGATAGAGAGACAACAATGTGCATGCATAACATTTTGAAGGTTCTTCAGGGAAGAAGTGACCACAGTTTAGATCATTCGATAGCACATCCTGTACTCACAGGCCCACCCTTAGGGTTTCGGACCCTCAACCCCAAACCCTAAACCCTAAGCCCTAAACCCTAAAACCCGAAATTATCCCCTAAACCCCTCAACCCTGAACCCCGGGCCTAAGACCTTAAACTTGGAAAGTTGCCCCTTGTACTAACAGTCCTTCATAGGTGTTCTATTTGGGGGCACCAGAATCCCTATTAAGGACTTTTGGTATAAGGCTGAACATCCCAAACAGGAACCCTTGCTTCCCAGACTCGCGCCCCAAACCCTAAACCCTAAACCCTAAACCCTAAACCCAAAACCCTAAACCCTAAAACCTAAACCCTAAACCCTAAACCCTAACACCCTAACACCCTAACACCCTAACACCCTACACCTGTGCCTTGACGAGAGCAACCTGCATGGCTCGGGCAGACTTGGCCAACTTCTGGAAAGCCTCCACGGCCGCCTTGGTGCCTCACGTTAGGAGATTGGGGGGGTATAGTCTAAAACCCTAAACCCTAAACCCTAAACCCCAAACCCTAAACCCTAAACCCTAAACCCTAAACCCTAAGTTGGGTGTGCCGAGCCTAAGGCCCTGATTCCCTGAGCCCCGGAACCCTAAGCCTTATACCCTTTGTTCAGGGTTCTGGGGATACAACTCGGGGTTTAGGGTTTAGGGTTTAGGGTTTAGGGTTTAGGGTTTAGGGTTTAGGGTTTAGGGTTTAGGGTTTAGGGTTTCCACGAGGCGAGAGCGCACAGCCGAACGCCTACACTAGCACTTAGTTGCTGAGTTCATAAGCCCCAAAAAAGTGTAAACTTTCAGTTCTACAGGGGAGTATAGTATCCCAAAAAGTGTAAAGTGTGCCCACTCAGCCACTAAGAGTATGGGTTTAGGGTTTCCGGATTCTGTCTTACGATTCAGAATTGAGGGTTCAGGGTTTAGGGTTTTGAAGGCTCTGAACATATTCCTGGACATGATCCACTTAAACCCCAACAAGCGACGATATGAAATCTCCCAAGGGCCTGCCTCGGGGTTCAGGGTTTAGGGTTTCCTGGGGGATACAAATTTGGGGATTCATAAAAACTAGTATAAACCCCTATACCCTAAACCCTAAACCCTAAACCCTAAACCTAAACCCTCACAGAGCTCGTGCCTCCCACCAAGAAGCCTCGCTTGTGCATGTACGCACTGACCTCGCAGACCTGGCCCGCCAAAGAGGGGTCGAGGGCTTTTCTGTAGCTTTTGGGTTCTTAACTCTAAGGGTAGTTTCATGTTACATGGTCCCTGAGTATGGGCCCATAAACGGGTACCCCGTACATACCCCGCATATACCCTATACCAATTAAGGGCCCATACTTCAGAACCCTCTAAAGGGGGATGGGGACCATATGGGTTTGTATTTTAATGGGGAGGCGCGTGACACGTGTTGGGGTCGGGGTATGTTTCGCGGGTATGTTTCGGGGTATGTTTCGGGGTATGTTTCGGGGGTATGTTTCGGGTATGTTTCGTGGCATCAGGAGCTACTTTACCTGCAATTTCGGGGGTATGTTACGGGGTATGTTTCGGGGGTATGTTTCGGGGTATGTTACGGGGTATGTTTCGCGGGTGTGCAACCCGTGTGCCATTCTTAAACCTGAGCCCCCCAAAAAAACACAAACCCATATTTGGGACCCATGAAACTACCCTATACTGCCCTGTGATTCACCCCAAGCCCTAAGCCCTAAACCTTAGGGTCCCAGTGCACCTTCATAAGGGCACCTTACCCTGAAACCCTTTGAGACCCTAAAACCGAAACCCGAAATTCCGGGCTCGAGGGTTCAGGGTTTGAGGGCTGAAGGGCTCGTAGGGTCTGCGGTGACCTTAAAATGAACCCCAAACCCAAAACCCCGAACTCTAAACCCCAAACCCCAAACCCCAAACCCTAAACCCAAATGAACACCTAAACTTCTAAATGTCATGTCTTTGCATTCTTCCTTGCGGGCTTCGAGTTCCCTCACCCCCTAAACCCGGAAGTTCCTGGAAGCTCCTGCAGTCCATGATCATCATCCAGACAAACGGTCAAGGGCTTGTAGGGTAGGGTTTAGGGTTTAGGGTTTAGGGTTTAGGGTTTAGGGTTTAGGGTTTAGGGTTTAGGGTTTAGGGTTTAGGGTTTAGGGGGCCGGCCCTGGAGATCCGATGGGTCCTAAGCCCAAGAGGGTCCTAAGCCCAATAAGGGTGCTTTAGGGTTTAGGGTTTTAGGGTTGACGGGACGCGGGCTTTCGGGTTGACGGGGAGTTACGCAGGCTACAGCCTTGCCCTCAAAAATATGAAAGGATCATTCATGACTAAGCAGGTAAAGAGAAAACGAAGGGCCTGTCGCCTGCTCCCTGCCAGTATGTATCATTGGGAGCGCAGCTGGCTGAATACAGCATCAACATGATAATCTTGAAACCCCCAAACCGCAAGCCTAATTGCGCCCTACAATTCCTTGACAATACTTAGCAACCCTAAACCCTAAACTAAGCCCCAAACCCTGCGATGCTTTCGCGCCTCGCCGTGGCCGGCTCCGTCCACGGCTTGGCGGCAAAGGCTCTGCACCTCCAGGAAAAGCTCTGCCGATGATGAGGGTTTAGGGTTTAGGGTTTATGGTTTTAGGGTCTAGGGTTTAGGGTCTCGGGATTCTAGGGTTTAGGGTTTTTTGGGTTTAGGGTTTAGCACGCTTCCATCACCCTCTGCGAATGTGAGAAACGGATTGCCTCCCATATCTCATCCTCTCGGCATCAGGCTTGCTTCGAACAACACTGGTGAGCCAACAGACCATGATCTAGCCTGACGGATTGCCTCTCATATCTCATCCTTTCTTCATTAGGCATGCTCGGCACTGGCGATCCAACATACCAGCGACATATATAGACATATGCATATACTAACAAAATACAACTGCGATCAACACTATGAACATATACAAGTGGAACAAAAATGCTGTAACAATAGAAGAACATGTAATACCTTCTAAACATGTATCAATATAGAACACAACAGTATACTCATATAACAAGATAACAACAAAACAATAATACATGAATAGGACAATACTTGAGTAAACTGCACAAACCATAGTATAACAACACACAATAAGACAATAATAATGTAATAATGCAATCGTGTAATACATGACAATGTTGAAAAATACACAATACACTAACATCCATCTAATAATGATGATCTGAGAATATAACGCACAGTAATACAATCACACAATGCTACACGACTTTGCGAATATTATACTATGACAGTATTGAAATATCTTGCTCAGGAAACACACAAATACAGTTAAGCAAAAGTGCAATGGCATAGCTGTTGTTAATGTCTTACTACGTTAATACGTTCAGGATGTGAGAACACACTATTCATGTATCAAGAGTACAAATATCACATAGTATAGTACACATGTTATTATCAGATCTCAATAACCTAGCAATCTCGCAGTGCAAACTATAGTAATATTTGAATAGCGTAACAATACTGCAATAAGCTCATTGCGGAATCGTATAACGAAGATAAAGCAGCAAAAAGAAGAACAATGATGACAGATCACAATAAAACAATAGCAGAATACAGCAATAATAACAATAACAGTGATAACAATAATAACAAGACTAAGAACAACAAAAATGACATAAACACTACTGACTTGCTTTGCGGAAAACATGCTACAGGCTGGCCTTTGGCTCGTCAAGACCCATCACCGAGACAGTCGCCTGAGGGCAGGTTGCGCGCGAAAAAGCTTCTACACGTAGAGGTCCATGCGGTTTAGGGTTTAGGGTTTGGGGTCCTACTTGGAGGCTCATGGGTACTTGTAGTCAGAAGTATAATTCAATTCATAGTCAAGGGAAACTATAAATACCATTAAATGCCGAATATATCCCTACTAAGAAGTAGCCATGAGGCTCCAAGCGCAATGCTTCTGCAGTGACTGGCATTCGTCCCTTTTTGAAACCTGGTGCTGCTGGAGAAAATGCAGTTCCCGACTATGTAAGACATCTCCTTCTAACCACAACTATTCAGGCCGGGGGCCATGTCGGCAGGTAGCTAGTTGTACTGAAAACTCATCATCCGACAGTGTCCATGTCATCTTCATCATGTTCTGTCGCTCCTCACTTGTCTTCACTTGTCCGCCATGGTGCGCGGGGGCGGCAAGAAGACGGTCAGGAGGACTGCGAGGCCAAGGACGCCGATGCCAGAGAGGCCGAAGAGGAGGTAGAAGCTGTTCCAAGACAGACCCGCGATGCCGAAGGCTCCCAGGGCCTCCTTGGTGAAGAGTCGGTCGAGAAGGACGCCGACATCCTCGTTGCCCGTGGCGGCCATTGCCCTCTGAGGGAGCACCATGGCCAAGCCGAGAGTCAGACCAAACGCCAGCGGCATCATGCTGCTGCTGGGGGCACTGGCCTCAATGCCATCGACCCTTGCCGTGGGCCTCGCCATGTTGATCTCGGGGCGAGGGACCTCTTGCTTGCCAGACACCGCTGGCACGAAGCTCTGCTGCATCGAGGACAGGGCGATCAGCAGCACGCCGCATCCCACCAACTTCAGGGCGAGCGCCATGGCAACAGTGGCAGTCGATCTTGCAGGACAGCCGTGCACCTACTTCGAGCCTGGCCAAGGGATCAGGCGAGTATGAGCTCACCAAGGTAAAGCCCTTCCTACAGGCGAAAGGCTCTGCGAGCGCTGAGCTTGCTACGTACAGGCTGGACCAGGGCAGAAAGAGCATGGCTGAACATTCCCCTGAGCAGGAACGCCACTTTGTCACAATGCGCCAACTGATCGTATGATTTTCTATACCATCCTACAGGCTCATGCTTGCACGCCCAACGTTGAATAGAAGAAATGTGGTGAAGCAAGCTTCTCACTTGTCCGCCATGGTGCGCGGGGGCGGCAAGAAGACGGTCAGGAGGACCGCGAGGCCAAGGACGCCGATGCCAGAGAGGCCGAAGAGGAGGTAGAAGCTGTTCCAAGACAGACCCGCGATGCCGAAGGCTCCCAGGGCCTCCTTGGTGAAGAGTCGGTCGAGAAGGACGCCGACATCCTCGTTGCCCGTGGCGGCCATTGCCCTCTGAGGGAGCACCATGGCCAAGCCGAGAGTCAGACCAAACGCCAGCGGCATCATGCTGCTGCTGGGGGCACTGGCCTCAATGCCATCGACCCTTGCCGTGGGCCTCGCCATGTTGATCTCGGGGCGAGGGACCTCTTGCTTGCCAGACACCGCTGGCACGAAGCTCTGCTGCATCGAGGACAGGGCGATCAGCAGCACGCCGCATCCCACCAACTTCAGGGCGAGCGCCATGGCAACAGTGGCAGTCGATCTTGCAGGACAGCCGTGCACCTACTTCGAGCCTGGCCAGGAGATCAACCAAATGGGCCATGTGCGCAATGCATTGCGCAACGCAGTGTCCTCACCGATGCTCAACTCAACCCGCAGTGCCTGGACCTGCAGCTTCGCCGCCTCCTGGATGGCCTATAGGCGCATGCGGCAGAATCTGAGTACGACTCAGGCTCTGATGGGTTTAGGGTTTAGGGTTTAGGGTTTAGGGTTTAGGGTTTAGGGTTTAGGGTTTAGGGTTTAGGGTTTAGGGTTTAGGGTTTAGGGTTTAGGGTAGGCCTTGCTATACCCGATATTACCAAATCAAACCTTAACCGCCTTAAGCCAAAACTCCTGCTTCCCATAGCGTGTCAGGCAAATGTCGGTTCTTGCCTTGGCCCGCTCCAGCACCAAAGAAAGGCCGTCACTGAAAGAAAGCACACCTCCCAGCTTAGGGTTTAGGGTTTAGGGTTTAGGGTTTAGGGTTCAGGGTTTAGGGTTTAGGGTTCATGGTGCGCAACCCTAAACCCTAGCATGCTGTGCAGCATGGGAACACAAGACACCGAAGATTACCGTCTGACGTCCTCGAAGAGTCTATGCCCTAATCTATTTCATCCCCAACAGGACACCAAGTCCATACCCTCACCAATATATGGAACTCTAAACCCTAAACCCTAAACCCTAAACCCTAAACCCTAAACCCTAAACCCTAGACCCAACTTCACAGGCCTGCAGCTGCGAGTGCAGTTATTGCACCAACGGAGAAGCCGGCTGTGGTCTGCCAAGCAGTGCTGTACATGCTAAACCCTAAACCCTAAACCCTAAACCCGTAAGCGGCAAATAGAGGTCCTGATTCTGAACGGAGTTCGTAGTTCAGGGGTCTTGGCCACTCCGAACCAACAAGCTTTCAGCGAGGATGTGAGAGCAACTCAGCCGGGACCTGCCTGGAAGTTGATGGCCTTCAGCAGGCGCGCGTCAAACCCCTAAACCCTAGACCTTCAAGAGATAACACACAACCAACACGCACACACAACCAACACGCAACCAACACACAACCAACACACAACCAACACATAACCAACACGCAACCAACATGCAACCAACACGCAGCCAACATACAACCAACAGACATCTCCACACTCTCGACTCGGGGTAGGTTGTGTGTGGTTGTGTGTGTGGTTGTGTGTGGTTGCTTGTTGTGTGTGTGTGTGTGTGTTGGCTGTGGGTGCTCTCTCTCTCTCTCTCTCTCTCTCTGTGCGCGCGTGTGCGAGTGCGGGTGCAGGTGCGGGTGCGGGTGGGGGTGCGCGTGCGTGGATGAGTCTATGTGTCTGTGTGTGTGTCTGTGCGTCTGTGTGTGTCTGTGAGTGTCTGTGAGTGTCTGTGAGTGTCTGTGAGTGCCTGTGAGTATCTGTGAGTGTGTGTGTGTGTGTGTGTGTGTGCGCGCGCGCGTGTGCGTGCTGCGTGCGTGTGGGTGTGGGTGGGTGGGCGTGGGGGTGGGCGTGGGCGTGTGTGTGTGTGCACGTGGGCTGAGCGCGCGGGTGTGTATATGTGCGGTCGTGGAATACGTTCCGGGCGTACAGGGGCCGTTGCATAATCATGACAATTAATTACTACCTTACAATCAAACGTACAGGACAAAACAAGGGCGTCATGGCGGCAACCATTTATAAGGCCCCCGTATATAAATTAAAAAAAACACAGAGAGAGAGAGAGAGAGAAAAAAAAAAAAAGAACACAGGAGCCTCCATGCAGGACCTATAGGAGATGCCACAGAGCAATAAGTTTAGGGTTTAGGGTTTAGGGTTTAGGGTTCAATAGCTGGGAGCCGCGCAGCGGGCTTCTGGTCCAGCAGCTTCCGATGCGCGGCGAGCCCGGCCACGAAGAGGGCAGGGTGCGAACGCGTGGGATCCTCCTGTCTGAGCTGGGTGCGCTGGAATCCACTGAGTTGCCGCAAGAGTCACTTCCTTCCCAATTCAACTAAACCCTAAACCCTAAACCCTAAACCCTAAACCCTAAACCCTAAACCCTAAACCCTAAACCCTAAACCCTAAACCCTAAACCCTAAACCCTAAACCCTAAACCCTAAACCCTAACCCTAAACCCTAAACCAACTTCAGAGGCCACAAAACCCTAAACCCTCAACCACGAAACTCGACAGAGTCTTGAAGCTGGGCCCTCAAAGCTTGTTTTTAAGCCTTGGCGAATGGTGTAGAGATTGAGACGTTGTGTCTTCAGTGTGTCTTTGACACTCCTCCGTTAACATGCTCCACGATTTGTGAAGTAGCCCTCGGCCAGACGAGGAAGTGGCCATGATCCAGGCCATCTAACACAAGGGTTTTCAGCTGAGGAAGCTTTGCAGCTGTAGTGTAGATGTCCTTCACCTTGGTTTGACTCCAGTATCCTACAGGGAATGAAGGTTACACTTTGGGATTATACAGGGTTTATAGAACATCCTAAAAGCATAAAGCTTGCCTACTCTACTACTAAGTTGCAGGCAATAGCTTGTCCTTGCCCATGAGAATCACGGATGAGCCCTCAGGCAGCATCTCGGGGAAAACCACGCTGTCTGTCCAGAAGAAATGCCGCATGAGGGTTCGGGCGATGCCAAACTCGCGCGCGCCGAAGACGCGCAGCAAGGCGCCCATCAGGGATCTTGGTCGCTTGTACAGGAAGTTCACGCAGACATCCGGCAGATTCAGCAAGATGCAGACTGGATCGACCTGGCGAAAAGGCTCAAGCTGCCAAGCTCTGTGCTCTCTGCATGCAGTCCTGAAGATGAAAACAAGATGAGGTGTCGGGGTTACTGTTGCAGCACCTTGCATCAGACCTCATGCTGTCCCATTCGAAAATCTCCGGTTGGGATGCTCCCCCTTATACTATAACAGTCCTTAATAGGAATTGTAATAGGGGAGTACTAGAATCCCTGTTTAAGGACTGCTATAGTATAAGGGGGCAACATCCCAAGTCTCCCCAATTCAGGCCGGATCTGCCATCACACATCTGGAGAGGATCGCCGGCTTGTACCGGAGCAGCCATGCAACAGGCAGCGACCCAAAGGAGTGCCCAAGCGCAACGCCTGGGGTTGGTCCATAAACCCTCTGACAAATATTTGTATATAGGGTCTCTTATAAAACCAAAATAGGGTCCCTTATAAACCCAAAATAGGGTCCCTTATAAACCCAAATAAGGAAAATAAAAGTCCCAAAAAGCAACCTAGACGCATGACGTGAGGCTATGCTGCTCCAGCACCTCCACCACCCAGCGCGCGTAGTCACCGGACGACGGGATTGCTGCAAACGGGTTCATGGAAATCCTTGGGCTGGACCGCTTGAAGCCCACCCTACGTAACCATGGCAAAAAAAAACCAACATCATCTCTATAAGCCCTAAACCCTAAACCCTAAACCCTAAACCCTAAACCCTCCCCCGCGACTCAGCAGCCCAGTGTCCATGGCAGCTCAAAGAGGAACTGGTCCGGCGAGCCCAATCGCAGCAAAAGCGGCATGTAGAGAGTCAGGCCAAGGCCGATTCCTTAAAGAGAAAACAGGGTTAAGGTTTAGGGTTTAGGGTTTAGGGTTTAGGGTTGAGGGTTGAGGGTTGAGGGTTGAGGGTTGAGGGTTTAGGGTTTAGGGTTTGGGGTTTGGGGTTTATAGGGCGTAGGGTTCAGGGTTTGACAGGGGACACGTACAGTAGCATGTATATATGAGCCAGCATTCACGCAGCCCCCCCCCCCCCCCCCCCCCCCCCCCCCCCCGGCGGCCCACGGCGGGCTTTGGTTCCCCCCCCCCCCCCCCGGGGTTCATGGTCTGTGGTTCATGGGTGTAGGGTTTCGGGTTATAAGGCTGTAGAGTTCAGGATTTTCACTCTGACCCCCTTGGTCCATTGGTTCACGGTGGGTTTAGGTTTATGGTTTCCCCTCTCCCTCTGTGGTTCCTGCTGGGTTTACGTTTCAGGGTTAAAGCGGTCAAGGTTTCGGGGTTCATTGGTGCGTTTAGGTTTTAGGGGTTTGGGGTTTAGGTTGAGTGTTCCTCTCTCTCCCCCCCCCTTGGTCCGTGGTGTGTTTAAGGTTAACGGGCAGGGTTTGCGGGGGGATACCATTGGGGGGGGGGGGGGGGGGGGGGGGGGATCGATTACGCGGAACGCGGGCGCGTATATAGGGTAGTGGTAGACGCGGTAGACAGTGGTAGTGTTAGTAGCCGTCGTCGTGGTGATGGTATGAGTTAAGCGGAAGTGGTGGTGGCAGTGGTGATGTGAGATGATCCTGATGCAGATTTCACGCCTTATTGGAATAACAGCGCTATTGCCACTTAGAAAAGTATGTTCATCATGATTGCTTGCTATTACTATCAGGGCTTATAAGGGTTCTAGTGCAGATCTGCGGCCGTGGAAGAAGATCAGTGGCTGCTCCTGAGTTTCAAAGGAGAGCTTAGTTCAAGATTTCGGGGTTGAACGTTTATGGTTTAGGGTTTTTTGGAGGTTTAGAGTTTGCAGTTTAGGGTGGCAGCCTCTGAATCATCCGAGGCGCTGGAGATTCCAAGCAATGAATTCCTTTGAAACCGCTCCGCAGGCGGTACCAATACCTGTCTCGAGGCTTCCACGGCTCTGTCTGGGCTCTAGTTCGAGATACTGAGTTGTGCGGTACCTTTCAAGCTTGTTTCTGAAAAGCTTGCCCTGCAGAGAAAGGCAGAGAAAGGTCAATAGTAGATCAAAGCACAAGCCAGGATAGCTCATATTTCAGGCTCGAAGTTTGATTCATTCGCACGAACTTTCCCTTAGCTCCAGATGCAGAACAAGCTCGTCGGGGATTCTAGCACGGTACTGCAATGCGGCCCAGGACAATCCACCCGCCTATCACCAGAACATCCCGCCGCCAATACAAGCCCATAAGCCCTAGAAACCCGTCAAACCCTCAAAACACCATAAACCCAATAATTAGACCCTAGAACCCCACCAACAAATACAAGATAATAATCCCTACATTCTCCCTATAAGAAAGAATTCGCATCGCGGGGGGTTCTTAAGCAAATAATAGCAGACATACACACAATCCACATCCCCATTCATATTTGTTTTAACCTCACGAACAAGAAGGAGAGCCCAGCCTGAGCCCCTGGTGGTGGGCGCGCTGGAAGCCCCTGGCCATCCTCAGCCCAAGATTGTCTGGGGGTTTAGTGTTTACCCAAAGGCTCCAATGTAGTTCCTTTTTGGGTGAGTTAGAGGGGATTAAAGTATACGACCCCGAAAAGGTACTACACAGGAGCCTTTGGGCAGGGTTTAAAGGTTTTGGGTTTAGCGGCTTGAGAGTTGAGAGGTTTTAGGGGATTAGGGGATTAGGGGATGCAGAGAAGCCTCTGACAGTGCATCCCAAGGCTGTTCTTTGGCACCCCTAACTGAAAAAATCTGGTGACCAGTCAAGGGCACCATGATCTAGCATGTGACGGAATCTCGACCTGTGGGTCTAAGGACTCGGATGGTTTGGCCCAAAGGCTTTCCAGTTTGTTAAGCCGAAGGGTTTGGGGCACCGCCAAAAATGCCAAACCACTAAAACCCAAAACCCTGAACTCTTGAAGCCCCCGGGTTTAGGGTTTATGGTTTAGGGCTTAGGGTTTAGGGCCTAGGGTTTATTCCGAGCCCAAGCAGCAGCAGGCAGCCGTGCAAGAAGTCCAGGGAACGAATGACCTCGGATTGCCCTAGTTGTCCAGTACAGGGTTTGGGGTTTGGGGTTTGGGGTTTGGGGTTTGGGGTTTAGGGTTTAGGGTTTAGGGTTTAGGGGGAACTAAAGGTTGACCTTCGGGACTATAAGGGGATTCTATGACCCCAAAAAGGTTCAAGGTTACCTGCTCTACAACTGCGTTGCACTCTGCAGAGTCGGGAACCAGAACCTCAAACCCGGGAACTTTTAGGGGTGCTTGGGTGTTGAAGGCTTCCAGGGGTCCTTCGAATGTTTCCCCGTGTTTTTTTGGCTTTAGGGCCCTTAGGGTCCTTAGAGGGTTCAGGTTTAGGGTTTAGGGCTTTTTGTTGTTAAAGGCTCTTAGGGTTCTTATAGGGTTTAGGGTTTCGGGTTGAGGGCCTCCCAAAACTCAGGTGAGCCGCTGCGTAAAACAACAGCGGCCGGTGAAGGGCATGGATCTCGTCGAGCGTGTGCCTGACTTTTTATAGGCCCATTTATGAGTTGTATATGCTCATATGGGTGGTTGTCAAAATTATGGTCCCTTTTTGGATCCCTATTATAATACGGCACCGAATATTTAGGGTACCCCCAAAAGGGATCATAATTTTGACAGCCACCCATATGACACACAGTCATGCTTTGCTCTGCGAATCGTGTCTAGCCAAATTTGCCTTACACTTTTGACTATAAGTTGTGTGTGCTTGTATGTTGCAGTGTGCCATATTTTGCTAATTGTCTTGTACAAATTTGTTTATACTTTTGATTGTATGTAATGTTATGATGTCACGACAGCTCGTGTAGCTGGGCTTGAGATAGTCTCTGCTCTGGCCGTGAACCGGCCCAACCTCAGTGGAGTTGTGCTCTTCCCGATAATATCGAGGAGAAGTGAAGGGGGGGGGTCCTGAATCTATCAAATCTACAAAAAGCTGTGGCGATAGGTAGATGCACGGGCGGTCGTTGCATTATAGATCGTGGTCTGTCTGAGCACCCCAACAAGAAAACGCTCCTGCCGGTCATGCAGAACGGGGACCATTTTTGCAGGAGGGACATGGGGCCAGCCGGAGCAGGGTGTGTATCGGGGGGGGGGAAGGGGGGGGGGCTGAGTTGAGCGCATGGGTGTGGGGCGGAGTGTGGTGTTTGTGGTGCTGGTGTGTGGTGGAGTGTGGATGTGTGTTTTGGGAGGGGCACAGGGTTTAGGGGTTTAGGGTTCTCTGCGGCAAGCACCCTCCAAATACAAAGCAATGTCCTTCGAGGATCCCCACGCAGAAAGAACCCCCTGGTTTGCGAAGACCACCCACACACCCTAAACCCTAAAGCCTAAACCCTAAACCCTAACCCTAAACCCTACACCCTAACCGAAGTTGATGGCCGAACTGGCACAGGCCTGATTGGCACGGCCCCAGTTCTGCCTGGCCGCAAGCTCTCATCCATGCGAAACTCCTCAGACATGGGGGGGTTGGTTTAGGGTTTAGGGTTTAGGGTTTAGGGTTTAGGGCTTAGGGCTTAGGGCTTAGGGCTGAGGGCTTACGGTCCCAAAACCCTAACACCCTAACACCCGAAGCCCCAAAACCCTAAGGCCCTTATAAACCCTAAACCCTACAGCTTGCAGAACTTAAGGATGCCAACGTGGCCAAGCATCGGAACTGATTTTCTCGTGCCTTGGTTCTGTCAACACTGCAAGGGCCCGATAGGCCAACTGCAGAGAGCCGTGCGGTCTGGGTGTGAGGTTGTACCCAAAAAACCCTAAACCCCTCAAACCCAAACCCCTAAACCCCACACACCCTAAACCCTAAACCCCACACACCCTAAACCCTAAACCCTAAACTCTAAACCCCCCCAAACACTCCTAAATCCTTGCCGAGGCGCGTAAACTCGGTCCAAGCGACCTGATGGATGCGACACTTACACCCGGAGACTCAGGAGGTTTTGGTTTAGGCCTTAGAGGGCCTTACCTCGTCAGCATTCAAGTCCTCAAGCTTCTTGTAGAAGAAGGCCCACGCAATCATTTCAGAAAGCTCATCCCGCCTTGGCAACTTCGGGTCTGGAGTTTTGGGGTGGATGACCTCGGCCTGAAGACTACCTGAGCTTATAGGATGTATACGTCCAAAACACCTGAGCCTAAACCCTAAACCCTCAACCCTCAACCCTAAACCCAAAACCCTAAGCCCTAAGCCCAAACCCTGTCAGATTCGGGGCCGAGGTGCCCCACCTCGTGGGGGCTCAGGAGCCTGTCTCGGTCCTCCGTCAGAAACCAGCCCTGCACTTGACGCCACATGCCTCGGATGCGATGTTTGGGGCTTAGGGTTTAGGGTTTAGGGTGTAGGGTCTAGGGTTTTAGGGTTTTGGGGTGTTAGAGCTTTGGTAGCATCATGTGTCGGATTTCGGGCCTCCGCCTGAATAGCGAGATTCCTCGTTCGCACACTGCTTTTTACGCGCAAGAGTGCTTGAGAAACCCTAAACCCTAAACCCCAAAAGACCCCGAGGCCAAAGGACCGTACTCTTCGGCATGGGCAACCATCTTGTCTACGACAAAGTTTCGGTCCTGAGGCTGCGGGCGTGCGTAGGGTTTATAGGGTTTAGGGTTTAGGGTAAATACTGGACACCATAAACCCTAAACCGAAAATCCTAAACATCCTGAAGCGGTTCTTCAACCACCGGAAGTAGGCTTCCAGCTACCGTACCTTTAGGGCTTAATTCTATACTCCCCTTAAGCCTTAGAACCTTAAGAAAAAATATGTCTAACATCCTCTTGGGTTTTGTATAAACAACATTAAAGAATAATTCCCAAGAAAAATATAGGGTTTAAGTAGGGTTTTGTTAGGGCTTTATTAGGGTTTAACTAGGGCTTAATTAGGGTGTGAGGGTTTAGGGCTTCGCGTTGCATCGCTGCATCCTCTGAAATCCCGCCTTCTCCGAGACCACGGGCGGTGGCTTTATTGCTTGGGCCTGGCGGGGAACCCTAAACCCTAAACCCTAAACCCTAAACCCTAAACCCTAAACCCTAAACCCTAAACCCTAAACCCTAAACCCTAAACCCTAAACCTAAACCCTAAACCCTTAACCCTCAATCCCAAGCCCTGAACCCTACAAACCATCAAACAGCAAACGTATGTGAAAGATACTGCTCTCAGGGCTCCTAGGGTTTAGGCTGTAGAGTTTAGGGTTTAGGGTTTGGGGTTTAGGGTTTGGAGTTTAGGGTTTAGGGTTATCGGATTTGAATATGTTGCTTTCATCCTAAATGCCTACTGTAGTTTCTATGTTGACTCTATGTTGTGGTCCTTTACCGTCTTCGTTTCAGGTATGATATGACTGAGCTTGATACAACATATGCCCTTAGCATTGGTGAACAACAACCGTTCTTTTTGCAACCCTCATCGCTGCCCTTACTCATTGGTATTACTTACGCTTGTTTTCACACTTTGAACCCCAACCCCACTCTCAAGAATATAGCGCATCGGATTTGCAACAAATCATAAAAGACACCATAAGGTGGTTATAGAATACCAGAAGAAAATGACCGTAAAACATTACATTCGTGCTTTTTGGTACTAAACGATATGTCAGAGAATGAAAGATAGCAGACATTGAATTTCGTTAAGCCAGGTATATCTGCATCGTCGCAATCATGCTTGGACCGCGATTATAGCTGTTCAAGCAGATCGAGGATTCTCAAGAGTCATTCGTAATTATTCGAGATCTGTTCTTCAAGATGCTTGGTTATCAAGAAATACAGACAATGCTTGAGAACATGTGTCAGACTAATTTCTATACTGCAACCTTCCAAAAAGGGATGTGCTGAATTGAACTGAAGGTGTGATTAAACCATTTTTTTTGCACTTTGCATATGCTCGTGTTTTTGTTGATTATTCTGTTCGTCTAAACTTGGTATTACACAGCAATATACATACGTTCTCATGTGCCCGTTAATTTTGAGATTTCCTCTTTGAAATCAGATATGTGTTAACCCTACATGTGAAGCCCTAGCCCCAAACCCTAAACCCTAAACCCTGTAGGTCCTTGTTACCGTTGCTTTGCACATGGGCCTCCTGCAAGGCGCGCCGGTACCAAATGTAGAAAAGGAGCTCGCCTGAGGTGGAGAAAGGAGTCGTGGTCTTGACCTTATAAAGGCTAAACCATAAACATAAACCTTAAACCCTAAACCCAAAACCCTAAACCCTAAACTCTTATGAATCCTAAACCCGAAGAGTTGAGGTGCGTCGTGAGCCGCAAGTCATTGCCAGCATTGCTGTTGCTTTTGTTCTTTTTCTCTACGCGAGAATGTTGGTTGGTCTTGTTGTCTATGCGTGCTGCGCGCCAGTGCGATCTTGTTGTGACTTAATATCACTTTTCGTGTTACTAGTGTTCACCAACCAGCAGGTTGGGTTCTTGGATTCTTCTCATCGTGCTACTGGACGTGCTCAGGACAGCAGGCAGTTCAAGCCTCAGGACCACAGAGGGGGCCCCAACAAAAACCACCTAAACGAAAGGATTCTACGAACAGGATTTGCAAGAATCTCTCTCAAAGGGGGCCCCTTATACCCCAAGAGTTGGACCCTTATGTTCATGTGGTTTTGGGGCCCCTAGCACAGGGCAGCACACCATTCAGGACAGGCGGGCGAATGTCCCGACATGTGGCCTTCGTACACATTCCGGGGCTCAGGATATTGGGGATTTAGGGTTTAGGGTTTCAGAGTTTCTATTGAGTGAAGTTTTTAACGGTTTACTGCGACTAACCCTAAACCCTAAACCCTAAACCCTAAAGCCTCAAAACCTACGAGTAGCCATTGCAGGCAAGCTGCACAGAAGCCAGACCTTCACTTGGGCAGTACATGTCTAGCGGAGGTGACTCGTGGGGCTTAAGGAGCTTAGGGATTAAGGAGTGGTTATAAACCCCAACCCCCACGCCCGCACCCCCCACCCCCCCCCTCCCCACAAAAAAAGGAACAAACAAATCAGTAGAGGGGATTGAGGGTATCTTGGAAGGCTTATGTGGTCCCCTTTGGAGATCCCAGATGTTAAGGGCCTGTACTGTGTTATAGAGGACTCCCCATACCACTTCTGGCCCCCCCGGAGCAGTAACCACCAATTCGGAGGTTCCCCCTGAAAAGTTCAGGGTTCAGGGTAGCAGAGGCCTCATATGGGAGTTGTCCGAGAAAAAGGGGTATCCTTTTCGGATTCCTGTACTGAGAACTATAGAATTCTTTGGGGGGGGGCTAAATAGGGGGATCCCCAACTTTGGGAAATACCCTAAACCCTAAACCCTAATCCCTAAACCCTAGGAACCCTCCCAACGCAGGGGTCCCCCAAATTTAGAGAATTCCCCCCCCCCCCCCCATACCCTAAACCCTAAACCCTAAACTCTAGAGACCTACCCCCCGCTTGGCCGGGATGCAATGCCGGTCGCAGCACAGACAAGCCATGGGTCGAGGCCAAAGGTCGCAGTTGGAAAGAGACCCTCAGCCTCGGCGCGGTTTAGGGTTTAGGGTTTAGGGTTTAGGGTTTGGGGTTTGGGGTTTGGGGTTTGGGGTTTGGGGTTTGGGGTTTGGGGGTTAGGGTTTAGGGTTTTGTGAGCTTCATACCCTGAAAGCAAAGGGAAATCGGACCCTAATTCTTGGTTACATGTACACTTTTTGAGGAGGCATAAGGCTGCTCTTAGAATCGACAGTTTAGGACGTATATGACGTAGGGTTTAGGGGTGTCGAGAGGCGTTTGTGGGTTGCCTGCTTTGGGGTTTAGGGTTGTAGTGTGCTGTCAGTCCCATCTTTCCCTGTCGATCCGTTGTAAGCCGCTGGCCGAGGGCTGCAAGAATTCGACACCAGCACCCGGCATTGCTGTGCTGGGGCGGGGTGCTGATGGAAATGTCTATGCTGCGCGGTTGATGCTAGTCAGGCAGTGCAAGAAATGTAACACGACACATGCAAGGGCGCGTACGTTCATGTGGTCGTTCGTTTTAGGGCCCTAAACTCTCTAAACCCAGTATAGGGCAGTATTCGTTTCCCATACTGGACTCCATCGCTGGAAGCCACGTTTACGTGCTATCAAGAAAGGTGCTGCAGGCCAACACTGCATTGAAGAGCAGCAATGCTCTAGAGACTCTAGGATTTTCGGATTTGCGTTTTGGGGTTTAGGATTTACAACGAGCAGCAATGCTCACCATGATAGAATGCCTTCGGTCCATGTACCCATGGTAGTTTCGGGTTCGCTTATGTCCGACCTGGTCTCCAAGGCAGTGCGCAAAGGAAGATTAGGCGGAATGTCCTTCAGGCTGCTCTCTGGGCCGTGTAGACAGACCTGCTTGCAGATCACTAGTCGCAATCGGGTCAGGATTCGCTTGGACCCCGGCTATTGAGCTGAGATTGTGCCGCATGTGCCACCGCGGAATGAAGCCCTGTTACTCTTACAACCTCCTCCTTGCCCTCCTCCTCATCATCCTCATCGTGATCATGCCTGGCCTGGAGGAGATCGTAGCCAAGGAGTTTTTGTGCCTGTGCCGCAAGTACTTCCCTAAACCCTAAACCCTAACCCAAAACCCAAAACCCTAAACCCTAAACCCTAACCGCAGCATTCTTCAGACTGACGCCGCAAAGTAACACACTGCGACTGGCCTCAGACAGCATCGCCTGAACCTCTGGCATGTCCTGCACGCCACCAAGCATGCCAACATACCTTCGGGCATTCCGCGTAGAGTGGCTCTCTGCGACTAGCCCTAGATTCCCTAAAGTCTGAACCCTGAAACCCCAAACCCTAAACTTTAAACCCTAAACCCTGAACACTAAACCCTAAAACCCTAAACTTGAAACCCTAAAAACCCAAGTCGTGTGCCACCGACAGGATTTTCTTCCCGAGCTCCGGGCTCGGACCCCTGGCCGGGGAAGAGAAGGCCAACCGGCTCGACATCCTGCGCCGGGACCCTCTCTATACTCCCCTTAGAACCTTAATAAAAATCACCCTAAACCCTAAACCCCAAACCCCAAACCCTAAACCCTAAACCCTAAACCAAAACCTTTTCAATATCCTCTCGGGTTTTATATAAACTTTAAAAATAATTCCCAAGGGGGATAGAGCTCTGATTGCTCTCACTACCAGGGATTACACACCTTGGGATGGTTCCCCCGTATACAAACGAGGCCAAACAGACTAAAACAATTAGGGCTTTTAGGGCTTAGGGTTTAGGGTTAAGGTTCAGGGTTTAGGGTCTAGGGTTTAGGGTTTAGGGTTGAGGGCAGGCTGCATGGCCCCATCGTTGCTGAGTTCACAAGCCCCCAAGAAGGTGTACACTTTCAGTTCTCTAGGGGGGGGGGGGGTGATAGTAACCCATATCGTATCCCCAAAAAGTGTGAAGTGTACTCAGCTCCAAAAAGTGTAAAGTGCACATACTCAGCTACGAAGGCCCTAAGAGCAACATGGCACGAAGCAATCCGAGCTTCAGGCTGAGAGTCGGGGTCTCCAGCCAAAGGACCGTCACCCAAAAGGCGAAACATCCCCAAGCCCTAAACCCTAAACCTCAAACCCTAAACCCCAAACCCTAACCCCCCCCCCCTCCGCCCCCCAATTTCCAGCTTCGAGCACCTTGGGAACGAGCTCTGGAGCTGTGAAGGCTGCTGGCGCAGCTGCCCGTAGCAGCTGGAGCACTTCCTGCCATGTCACTTGGGAACACAATTTAGGGTTTAGGGTTTAGGGCTTAGGGCTTAGGGTTAGGCAGCCTTGTACCAGTCTGACTGTTTTGGCTACTTTTGTTAATGGTCGGTATTGGGGTTGTCATGACCTTTATTATTCTACGAAAGGTTCTTATGACCTCTATGACCCTGAATGTACATCCCTGCCACATTTTCACGCCATCCGGCCATCGCAACAACGTGCACCAGACCATGGCGCGAGCATGGTTTGGACCACGTCATGGGCGCGGGATCTAAAGGGCGAGAGCGCACATTAAGAACCCTGAAGAACCCTGAACCCTGAAGAAACCTAAACCCTAAACCCTATATCCTAAACCCTAGACCCTACACCCCTGGACCCTAAATCCTAAGCCCTGAACCCTAAATTGGAGCTGCAAGCGCACCTTAGCAAATGCTTCTGGTTCGGAGCATACCTTGTTATCTATAATGGTCTCGGTGGGCTGTATTTTCCCAGACCTCTCTTAGCACAACCATAAACAAGTATGTTTTCTATGTTACACTGGAAGTAAATATGATAAACAAAAGCATAGCTAAGCGGTCCCCCTAACCTCTGTTTATATAACCTCTAACCCCCAAACTCCAAGTTATAGAGGCACAAATGACCTGATACTAGTAGGCCGCAATAGGGATTCTAGTAGGGGGAACGAAAATCACCATTCAGACTGCTAGTATAAGGGGAAGGAACATCCCAACCCCAAAGCCTAAACCCCCAAAACCAAACAAAGCTGAGCTGTCTTAGGGAGTCAAGGTCCTGTCCTTGAGGCGTGGCTTAGGGTTTAGGGTGTAGGGTTTAGGGTTTAGGGTTTAGGGAACCGGCAGATATCACACATGCTTGCTTTGTCGGTTGAGATAGCAGTGGCTTTGCACAACTATAGGGGGTCCCAGCTGGCCATCTTAGACAGCTTGGAGGCGGACCAGCACTGCCAGCTCTTCTGCAAGTCTTCGACTTTGCATCTCGATGCTAACTTGTGCTGTCTTGTTCAGCTGCTTCCTGGCATTGATAACATGCTATGTACAAGGATAGCAGCAGGTGCCAATGCTATGGTATAGATGCCACCATATACGAATCAAGATCTTTAACATCCTCTTGGGCTGTATAAAAGCAACACATCAAACTTGGGATGTTCCCCTTATACTAACAGTCCTTAAATGGGATTATAGTACCTCCCCCCCCCCCAATGATCATCCCTAGTAAGTGCTGTTAGTAAAAGTGGGAACATCATCAGTCCTCAAACCCTGCGACAGCTCTAGTCTGACGAGTCAGGAGTCTCTGGCCGCTTGCGGGAGGACTTGTTCCCGGCCTTGAGTACCTGGGGTTTAGGGTTTAGGGTCCTCTTAAACCCTACAACCCTAAACCCTAAACCCTAAACCCTAAACCCTAAACCCTAAACCCTAAACGCCGAGGTGCCCAGCAGGTGGCCGTGGAGCACTCGAGCAAGCTGCACTTGTGGTTGAGGGGCATGTCCATGGGCTCCTCCAGCGTGGGCTTCGCGGCCTGGGCCTCTTCGCTGCCCTTGCTTCCTTGGAGGCCCAGCATAACTCCGGTGCCCCTTTGCGGCTTAGGGGGGTTTAGGGTTTAGGGTTTAGGGTTTAGGGTTTAGGGTTTAGGGTTTAGGGGGGAGGGTGTGATACGCTTCTAAGGGAACCCCCCTCCCCCCCCCCCAAAAAAAAAAAAAAGGCAAAATGGTACGACTCCAGCTGCCACGCTTCCGGCGCGGCCGAGCCCAGGGACATCCTGGGCAAAGCTCGTGGCAGCCAACGAGCCCCTCGGTCGGAGCGTCTTGTCCCGTGGAGTGCCGCCCGACGCCTCCAGGGGGGAGGCTTCTTTTTGGGGGCACCAGAATGAAAAGCAAGATCTCTGTGGCTCTTAGGGATTTTACAGGGATGATTTATGGTATAGGGAGAAATAGGGACTCTCTAGGGGAGGGGCATAGAGATTACGGGGCTTGTTTCGGAGTAGTAGGAACGAAGAAGAAATTCACAACTCGAGCCTGGGCTGCCCCTGCCTCCTTCTCACGGTTTTCGGCCTCCAGCTGCTCCCGGTACTTCTCCTTGCTCGCCCAGTAGCCATGGTGAGAAGGTGACGATCGAACCCGGAAAGGGCAAAAGGGCACGAAAACGCCCCTGCAAACCCCAAAAAGGCCCGAAAACACCCAGAACCCCTACATGCCGGAAATGATGAGGCAACCTGGAACCCAAAAAGGTCAAAAAGGTATTTAAACCCTATAGGCCACATGCCGTAAACCGTAAACCCGAAACCCTAAACCCAAAACCCAAAACCCTAAACCCAACTAGAAAAGGGAACCTGGAGCCCAAAATGGGCAAACTGGGCCCCACTGGGTGCGACCGAGTCTCGAAGAGCGCCTCCTGCTCGATCTCAACGGAAGCCTGCCACACCAGGGGACCATGGGAGGTCTCTGCAATGCGGTTTAGGGTTGAGGGTTTAGGGATTCGGGTTTAGGGGGGTCCCATGCATGGGCCCTTAATTTGGGTCCCTTGTAGTGTAACCCTTATACACTGTGCATGATAAGGGACTTCGGATCCCTCTCAAAGGGGGGAATGCACCTTTGGCACCCGCATCAGATGAGGAACCCCGCCTTCAGCCTAGCCATCGCTTGAAGAGCTGCACCCTCCGGAACGACCACCTTAGATCATCCGTACGGCTGTCCGCTGTGCATCTGAAGCGGCGGACATGCCAGCAACCAGGAACGAAGTGCTTTGCTCTCACCGTGCTCTGGGCGCACTTTGACATCTTGCAACACCACTTTTGAGAGCACATTCTGGTACCTTCCTGAAGGCTCCAATGTAGTTCCTAGGGTTAGTTACTTGTAGGGGGATTCTAGTATACTAGCATACTACCCCACAAGGGTACTGCAGAAGGAGCCGCCGGGTAAAAAAAAAAAAACGAGGCCAGCTAAGGCCATCACGGCTCGGGCAGATGGCACGGCCGCCTTCCTTACTGTTGGCGAGTTTAGGGGAACGAGGGAATCCGGCACCCTCTATCCACCTATATGTACCCTTTAAGGGACTATACAGGGTATATACCCCATCTCCCCCTATATTCTACCCTTTAAGGGATTCTCTAGGGCGCCCTGTATCCCCCATTCAGAATACCCCTTTAAGGGATCCTATAATTGGGGCGCACCTTAACCCCTCCCCACTAACCGAAACAACCAGGTGTCCGCGTCATCCGAAGCCCTTGGCCCGGCTTGCTGATGCTCGGGCGCAGCATGTCCATGGTGTCTCCCTCGGGGCCTCGGATGGCTCGGGCTTTTTGGGGTTATAGGTTTTTTTTTGAGGGTTTTTATAGAGGGTTTAAATAGAGGGTTTATCGAGGGTTTGTAGGGTTTACAGTGTTTCTAGGGTTTAGAGGTTTTTTTGGGGGGTTTGTAGGGTTTATAGAGGGCTCATAGAGGGTTTATAGAGGGTTTATAGGGTTGTTTGAGGGTTTATGGTGTTTTTAGGGCTTATGGGGTTTATGGGGTTTATGGGCTTATGGGTTTTGTATGGTTTAGAGGGTTTGTAGGGTTATAGGGCTTGTGGGAAAATTGGGGTTCAGGATTTAGGGTCTAGGTTTAGGGTTTAGGCTGAATATCATCCTCTTCAACCCACGAAAGGCGAAAACGAACAAACATCCCTTGCAGGGATAAACCCTAAACCCTAAACCCTAAACCCTAAGCCCTAAAAATCCCTTGTAAGGGCCTACCCAGGGGCAGACTCCCGTGCCGGCACCCACCAGAAGCTCCTGCGCGATGGCCGTGGTCACGATCTCAATCTTTGGCTGCACCTTGCCTTGGATGGGCCGCTTTTAAACTCTCTGCAACATGCTCCCCCAAAAGGGTCCTTCTATCCACCCAATAAGGGAGAAAACAAAAAATAGATGTATATAAATATATAACTATAACTATAATTATAATTATATTTATATTTAATTACATATATATATATATATGTATAAACCCCCCCCCCCCCCGTTGCCAGATCAGTTGCCTGGCTTCTCACTGCCCGAGAACTTGGACCTGGCCGAGCGCTTGCTGTGCGGCCTCTCCTTCCGCGACGCGGGGCTTCCCGGGCTCCTAGTTCATGGTTGGGATAGTATTAAAATTTTAAAGTTATATTCCTTATTGGGTTTAAGTACCCTTAAAAATGTAAAATGTTACCCAACTACAACAAAGGCTCTGGAGGCTTCGCGCGCTGGCACTGGGGCCGCTGGGGCCGCTGGGGCCGCTGGGGGCCAGGGAGGCCATGGTCACGGCGCTCTCGGCACTGGAGGGCACCAGTGGCAGGTCCTGCCAGGCATCCCGGAGCTCCTTCGCTTTCTCCTCTCGGCCTCGGGCGATGATGGCTCTCATGTGGCTGCCGTGGCGCTGGACCTTCTGCGCAGCCGCGTGCACTTGAGCCCCAGCAGCGCTGGAATACCACCGGCACCTGCCCACGTGCGACTGCGCCTTCGGGGAGGGGATGCGGAAGTGCCGCTTGGGCGCGGCCGCTGCGGCACCCAAATGCTCGGGCTTAATATCGAAGACTCGGCTCAGGGCCTCCACATCCGTACCTTCCAGAACCGGCACGGTCACGTCCAACTCTTGCTGCACCTTCCGCAGCATACTGTCAACCCCAAACTTCTCCTTCATTGCCTGGTAGTCGTGCATCATCAGCTCAAGCATCCGCTGGCACTTCGGGCCCTCCTTCTCGTCCACCAGCAAGTTTTGCAAGGCCTCCTCGGACAGGTAACGGAACCTTCACTGAACTTGGAACCCTTGCAAACTGGTTATTCTAATTCTAATTTTGGCTGCTGCTTCTAGGAGTTATCGTACCCAAAATATGAAGAAAAAAACTCCCAAGTCTCCCTAAGGAACATCTTCTGTGGTAAAGCCTCCTGTGCTCCTCCGCCTCCGCCTTTCGACGCGTGGCCGGATCGGCTTATGCTGGGCACAAACATCAGATTTCGGGCGTCCGCGAGCCAGAGCTGTGACTTCCGGTCCTTGTAGAAGATGAACCTTGACTGAACTTGGCACTCTAGCAAAAAATAAAACTTTACCAGGACTAAAAACTCTTCCCAAAAGAATCCCCAAGGAACTCTCCAGACACGAGCTCCATGTTGCAGTAGTAGGTAAGATGCTGGGCGAGCTGGGTTGGTACTGCGGACATCCTGTTCCGATCGCGCACGGACTCCAGGAATGTGTAGCGCTCGAAATGGTTGTTCATGATGTCTGCCAGCCTATTGTGAACAGCCCCCACCGCCTCCGTCTGAAGGGCGTTGTAGCGGTACGTAAGAAACTTTGGGCGCGGGGTAGACTGGCCAGTCCAGAAGGTGGCCTGGAGTAAGGTGACCCCGGCAGGCCACTCGCGCCGGCCCTCGAAGCAGCTGCAGACCTCACTGTCCAGCAAGCGCTGGTCGCTGCTGCCAGTGCCAGAAGCCCAGAACCTCCAGTAGGTCTTCCGTAGAGCCAGAGGGGACTTCAGCACGATGGACTTCCCCAGCGTGTTGCTCTTGGCAGACTTCTTAGGGCTTTTCAGGTCCGCCGTGTCGCTTGCGCCACGGCTGCTTCGGCTGTTTCGCCGGGAGCCCGAGATAAACTCCACGCGCTCCGTGCGCTCGAGCTTCTCGAGCTGCGACTCCACCTCACGGTAGCAGTTCCAGTCCATCTGCTGCCGGGACTTGATCAGCTCCACGATGCAGTTGTAAACCACGTAGGGCTCCTTCCGCATCGGACGCCGCGCGGCCCTGAGGTAGCCAGCGCAGTCGGTGAAGAAGAGGATCTGGGGACTCCTCTCCAAGAGGACGGTTTCCTAAACTGATCTGGAAACCCTTGCAAAAATAATTTATAGCTGTTTCTAAAAAAACAGTACCCAAAAATAAAAAAAATATTCCCAAGTGTCCCTAAGTTTCCGGGATCAGCAGCTGTAGTGGTGGAGGCGCCGCGTCGGCCTTCCACTCGGCCGTCTGAGCCTGCGCCTCGGCGCCAAAGTCGGCCACCCGAAGGAGCAGCCACTCCAGGTCATACCTAGTTTAGGGTTTAGGGTTTAGGGTTTAGGGTTTAGGGTTTAGGGTTTAGGGTTTAGGGTTCAGGGGTTGAGGGTTTAGGGTTTCGATTCCTTACTGAGTTTAGGTACTCCTAAAAAATGCAAAAATGCTACCCCCACTACGACAAAGACACGGCCCTAAGGGCCCCCAAGCCCCCAAGCCCTGTTGAATGGACTCACTCGGGCTCTGGGCCTCGCTCTTTGGCATGGCAGGGCCGACGTTGTGTGGCAGTACTCTGTGCTATGACTCGTCTCTTATGAGAGTAGCAGTAGAACTATATATAGGTTCCTTCCACTATCCTTATTGTCATTTTATAATGGTGGTTTTTTCAATGACTGTATTAGTTGTAAAGCAATCTTCTTTTCTTCTTATGTAAAGTAGCCGTTACACTCACATGGACTCTTGGGCTTTGCCGGCCAAAGCTCGTCGCTCCAAAGGACACCCCCAACCCCCCCCCCCCCCCCCCCCCCCCCCGCAGAACCCTAAACCCAACCTCAAACCCGTAATTCCCTAACCCTCAACCCCCTAAAACCCCCCCAAAACCCCCTAAAACCCCTACAACCTAAACCCCGAACCCCCGGAACCCTAACCCTAAACCCTCAACCTGAAACCCTGAAACCCTAAACAACCCCTAAGCTCCTCAAACCGTGAACCAGTAAAGGTCCAAGTTGGGCTTCTCGTGGCTTAAGCTCAGCCCAAAGACAAGAGGCCAAGATTTTGGAGGTCTCAGGATACTAATTAGCGGCTTGGTGGGGAAGGTTTTGGGTTTAGGGTTTAGGGTTTAGGGTTCAGGGTTTAGGGTTCAGGGTTTAGGGTTCAGGGCTCAGGGCTCAGGGTTTAGGGTTTCAGGTTTCGGGTTTCTTTAGGCTTCAGACAGGCCTCCGAAGCGCCAGCCTCCTGCGCCAGGCGCGCCGGGAGGCGCCCGGCCCCGTCCGGGCGTTGCGCGGCGCTGCCATTGGCCTTCTTTCGGGGGTTCTAGGGTTGAGGGTTTCCAGGGGTGCGAGGGGTTGAGGGGATCCCGAGGTCTAGGGTTCCAAGGCCAGGGTCCAGGGCTCTAGGATTCAGGGAGCCGGGGGGGCAGCGACTATAAGCCTTTCATGCGCAGAGGTCAGGTGCTTTTTTGTGAGGTTTATCCGCCTGCTTGCTCTCTGAAGATGGTGACCATTGCCAACTATTGATTGATACTGGATACAACGGCATAGCAATATAGCAGAATAGAACCATACAACAAATATTTTTTTAAAAATAGCAAAACAAACATACCAATGATGAGAAAACCTTGTTCTATAGTACTCGGATACGACAAGATAAGGATAATCGGAAATATGCAAGAACATGGCAACGCAGTCATGTACACCAAGGCAATTCGTATCATGTAACAATATAAAACTATGTTCAGATAACATACCAGCATGAACATGGTAATTAAATAGCTATATGTTGTATAAATATACACGACTATAGGAATGAAAGTCCAAAATATTCGAGAACATATTACACAAGGCTAATTGCAATGCTAGAATGAATTATGAACCTGCAAATGTAGTACAATTATAATATCATCATATCAGACTTTCATACACCTGTTATTGATGATGTAAGGATACAAGCAACTTTGAAACTACATATTATATGTGTATACATATATATATATATATATTTGTAGCAAACACATCGTGACCATCTAACAATACCCAAACAAAAACGATGACCGCCTGGAGGAGAAGCTGCATCACCTCCTTGGAAGCCCTGTGCTCTGCAGCCTCGGAGACCGCTCTGCAGAGCTCGGACGACGCCGCGGTTTACTCGAACCCTAAACCGGCGGAGGGTTTTTTTTTTTGCAAAGGTGTGGCTCGGCCCTGTCCTCTTGCAAAGGTGTGGCTCGGTAACCCCCTTCCCCTCCACGTCCCACCCCCCCCCCGCCACCCCCCCCACCCCCCCCACCCCCACCCCCCCCCCACCCCCCCCCCCACCCCCCCACCCCCCCCCACCCCCCCCCCACCCCCCCCACCCCCCCCCCACCCCCCCCACCCCCCCCCCCCCCACCCCCCCCCCACCCCCCCCCCCCACCCCCCCCCCCCCCCGCCCCCCCACCCCCCTCCCCACTCCCCCCCCCCCCCCCCCCACTCTCACCACCCCGACTCCCTCCCCCTTATTTGCAAACTCAATGCTTGCCTCTAGGTTTCAAAAAAACTCATATGCTTTGAAACAAGCTTGCACGGCTTTCAGAAGCGGGGGGTTGGGGGGGGCGCAGCCCCCCCCATTTGAAAACTCAATGCTTGCATCATGGGTTTCAAAAAGACTCTTATGCTTTGATGCAAGCTTGCACGGCTTAAAAAAGCGGGGGGGTTGGGGGGGGCGCAGCCCCCCCCATTTGCAAACTCAATGCTTGCATCATGGGTTCCAACACCGGGGGGGCCATTTGCAAACTTAATGCTTGCATCATGGGTTTCAACAAGACTCATATGCTTTGACGCAAGCTTGCACGGCTTAAAAAAGCGGGGGGGTTGGGGGGGGCGCAGCCCCCCCCATTTGCAAACTCAATGCTTGCATCATGGGTTTCAACAAGAATCATATGCTTTGACGCAAGCTTGCACGGCTCAAAAAAAGCGGGGGGGTTGGGGGGGGCGCAGCCCCCCCCATTTGCAAACTCAATGCTTGCATCATGGGTTTCAACAAGAATCATATGCTTTGACGCAAGCTTGCACGGCTCAAAAAAAGCGGGGGGGTTGGGGGGGGCGCAGCCCCCCCCATTTGCAAACTCAATGCTTGCATCATGGGTTTCAACAAGACTCATATGCTTTGACGCAAGCTTGCACGGCTCAAAAAAAGCGGGGGGGTTGGGGGGGGCGCAGCCATTTGCAAACTCAATGCTTGCGCATACTACATATATACACTCCACGTATTTCTACCAGCTACAGCTACATCGCGGTAAAAAGAATCTTGCGCTGGGGAAACAGGGAAATCAAACGAAGTCGGCACCCAAGCCAGGCCACCCGAGCCAAGCCACGAGCCAAGCCAAGCAGCCAGCCAAGCCAAGCCTAGCCACCACCCCCCCCCCACCCCCCCACCCCCCCCACCCCCCCCCCCCCCACCCCCACCCCCCCCACCACCCCCCCCCCCCACCCCCCCCACCCCCCCCACCCCCCCCCCCCCCCCCCCCCCCCCCCCCCCCCCCACCCCCCTCCCCACTCCCCCCCACCCCCCACTCTCACCACCCCGACTCCCTCCCCCTTATTTGCAAACTCAATGCTTGCCTCTAGGTTTCAAAAAAACTCATATGCTTTGAAACAAGCTTGCACGGCTTTCAGAAGCGGGGGGTTGGGGGGGGCGCAGCCCCCCCCCATTTGAAAACTCAATGCTTGCATCATGGGTTTCAAAAAGACTCTTATGCTTTGATGCAAGCTTGCACGGCTTAAAAAAGCGGGGGGGTTGGGGGGGGCGCAGCCCCCCCCATTTGCAAACTCAATGCTTGCATCATGGGTTCCAACACCGGGGGGGCCATTTGCAAACTTAATGCTTGCATCATGGGTTTCAACAAGACTCATATGCTTTGACGCAAGCTTGCACGGCTTAAAAAAGCGCGGGGGTTGGGGGGGGCGCAGCCCCCCCCATTTGCAAACTCAATGCTTGCATCATGGGTTTCAACAAGAGTCATATGCTTTGACGCAAGCTTGCACGGCTCAAAAAAAGCAGGGGGGTTGGGGGGTGCGCAGCCCCCCCCCCATTTGCAAACTCAATGCTTGCATCATGGGTTTCAACAAGAATCATATGCTTTGACGCAAGCTTGCACGGCTCAAAAAAAGCGGGGGGGTTGGGGGGGGCGCAGCCCCCCCCCCATTTGCAAACTCAATGCTTGCATCATGGGTTTCAACAAGACTCATATGCTTTGACGCAAGCTTGCACGGCTTAAAAAAGCGGGGGGGGGTTGGGGGGGCGCAGCCATTTGCAAACTCAATGCTTGCGCATACTACATATATACACTCCACGTATTTCTACCAGCTACAGCTACATCGCGGTAAAAAGAATCTTTGCGACTGGGGAGAACAGGGAAATCAAAACGAAGTCGGCACCCAAGCCAGGCCAAGCCGAGCCAAGCCACGCCGAGCCAAGCCAAGCCAAGCCAGCCAGGCCAAGCCAAGCCGAGCCGAGCCCACCCGAGCCAAGCCAAGCCAAGGAGCCAAGCCAACGAAAGCCAAGCCGAGCCAAGCCAAGCCAGAGGACAAGCCGAGCCAAGCCAAGCCAAGCCAGGTCAGAGGACACGCCCAGCCAAGCCAAGCCAAGCCACACCTTTGCAAGGGGACAGGGCCGAGCCACACCTTTGCAAAAAAAAAAACCCGGACCCCCCTAAACCCTAAACCCTAAACCCTAAACCCTAAACCCCTAAACCCGAGGTTGTACTAACGCTACATCCCAATCTTATGCAGGAGGTCTACATGTAGGCGTTAAACAAGAGTAGCTGTGTGCATCTATACATATATCTGTGTATGTATATGTGTGGGTAGATAGTCAGATAGACAGATAGAGATGTAGAATCAGATCAAGATAGCTAGATACTGCATACTTTCTTCTATGCAAGCAGCCAAAGTATATTGAGATCGGTTTGGGCCTGAGGACAGGAAAGCGGGAGCCAATCGCGGGCGGGTGAGTATGGGCAACCGTGCGGCCAATATTCCTTGATGATACCTTGAACTAAATCAGGGAATTGAGTCAATGTACCCCCTAACTAGCCTCTAGACTCTAAACCTATTTCTTGGACCCTACAAACCCAAAACCGTATTTTCCTTAAGCCTAAGGGGTACTCGGCTCTCTGGGCAAACGAACCAAGGCCGCGGCCCAGTGCAAGGGCAGCGAGCCCTCGCGATCTGCTTCCTGCGCTGCTTCGGGACACCTGGCCTCAGCTTGAAGTCGCTTGGGGTTTAGAATTTAGGGTTTGGAAATCCTAAACCCAAAAGCCTGAGGGGTTGGAGATTTGGGTACCTTGGGATCTGCCAAGTCATAATGAATCATCAACGACTCGACATTGAATAACCATCGGTTTTCGATTTGTGGTTACGTGTTGTTATGAATGGCTCAGCTTTACATCGCCAATGCACATGAGAGGCACTGTTATTGCTAAGGAATTGTCATCATTACGGACTTAGGTTTGCTCAACTCAACTATCCTGTCTTCATTATAACAGCTCATCCGTGATCACCCTGGTCACT